GGATCAGATTCAACCAAAGTAATTATATCAGGATCAACAGAGAATGCATAATCCTTATCGGTTACACAAATAGGTGAAGTAGCAAAAGCAGGGTCAGGTTTCATTCTAGCATTTAGAGATTGTTTGTTCCATTTAGCTAATAACCTTTTAAGTTCGTTTCTATCTTTGCAAGCTAAAATAGCTAAAGACGCTTCTTTATCAAAAACATTACCCTCAGGAATAACAGGCAAGTCTTCATCATCAATTTCATCAGTATTATCAGATTCAATATTTTCAATCTCTCTAGCCCTAGCAAGTTGTTCATCCAGAAATTCACCAAGTGGCACAGTAGTATCAAGCATAGAAGTAGTTTCATCATAAGTATCATGCATAGCAGAAGTAGCTTCATCAATAACATGCGACATATCAGAACGAATAGCAGAAGCAGGTTTAGGTGTCGCAAGGTTACTCAAAACAGAAGGTGAATCAAGTGCAGAGCTAGATGGCAGTTCCTTACCTCCCCTCGTAGTTGAGGGATAAATCTTGGTTCTTGAATCTTTCAAGTTCTTCATAATGATAAGCAGATATAAATCCCAAGTGACTCAAAGAATAGAGCTATGCTCCCCGGCAACGGCGCCAGAAAATAGTCTTGATAACCCACAAGTATAGGGGGTCGCAACAGTTTTCGACGGTGGAGTATTCAACCCAAATTTATTGATTCGACACAAGGGGAGCCAAAGAATATTCTCAAGTATTAGCAGCTGAGTTGTCAATTCAGCCACATCTGGAAACTTAATATCTGCAGCAAAGTATTTAGTAGCAAAGTAATATGATAGTAGTGGTAATGGTAGCAAAAAGGTAATAGTAGTAAAAGTAATGTTTTTGGTATTTTGTAGTGATGATAGCAATAACAATGGAAAAGTAAATAAGCGAAGAACAATATATGGAAAGCTCGTAGGCAATGGATCGGTAATGGAGAATTATGCCGGATGCGGTTCATCATGTAACAGTCATAACATAGGATGACACAAAACTAGCTCCAGTTCATTGATATAATTTAGGCATGTATTCCGAATATAGTCATACGTGCTTATCGAAAAGAACTTGCATCATGAAATTACTCACGCACGGCGGCGAGCATCATGAAATTGGTGATGGAGGATGGTTGATGATGACTATGGTGATGGATTCCCCTTTCCGGAGCCCCGAACGGACTCCAGATCAGCCCTCCCGAGAGGTTTTAGGGCTTGGCGGCGGCTCCGTATCATAAAATGCAATGAATTCTTCTTTCTGAGCTTTTTCTCTCCGAAACACAATATATAGAGTTGGAGTTGGAGTTCGAGGATCTCCAGGGGGGCACGAGGTAGGGGGCGCGCCCTAGGGGGGCAGGCCCCCCCCCCCACCCTCGTGGACAGGTGGTGGGCCCCCTGGCCTTTATCTTTTGCAGGTATTTTTTATATTTTCCAAAAAGTTGCTCCGTGAAGTTTCAGGTCATTCCAAGAATTTTTGTTTCTGCACATAAATAACACCATGATAATTCTGCTGAAAACAACGTCACTCCGGGTTAGTTCCATTCAAATCATGCAAGTTAGAGTCAAAAACAAGGACAAAAGTGTTTGAAAAAGTAGATACGACGGAGACGTATCATCCACTCACAAACATGAAAAATAATGAAAAGAGTTGAGTGTAAACAAACCTGAAATTGAGTCCCTCGTTCGAAAATGTATGAAACCAATTGCTGGATCAGTGAGTGGTGCTGTGATTGCTGTCAGTCACTCACTCACCGACGAGAGAGAGAGAGAGAGAGAGTTCGGTGTGGATGTTTAGGTGTGCATGTCACACATCTTTCTGGCCCTTGACCAAGAGAGTTCGGTGCTGGATCAGTTCCTCGTGGCCTCTGCTTTTTTTCTGAGCAAATCAAAGGCCGTCTGATGACAGCCACTGAAACCGCCGGATCGGTCACGAATGTGCGATTCAAGGCCCAGCCTCATCGCTGACCTGACCAACCCACTTCACCGTCGCCGCAAATCATGCACTGCGTCGGCTCAGAGACAAGTGGTTTGCCACGCGACATGAAATGCATGCATGACACACCACTTATATTCTCAAGTTTTGAGTGGTGGTACGTACAAGGTGCCTACCGAAATTTGACGGCCACCTCTGACGTCTACAATGCAGGTGCCACGACCACGAGGAGACAGGAGAGCAGCCCTCGCATGATGGGAGCATGTCTAATATGTTTTTGGAACTGTTTTGTATGATCCACTACCTTCATCCTAATTTATTAGCCCCTCTCATATTTAGGATCGTGTTTTGATCATAAATTTCACTAGTAAAATATATGTTATATATAGCAAAAATAATATAATCAAAAACTATGTTCAAATATCAATCCAATAGTATTATTTTTGGTGACATACATTAAAATTAAAATTTTGTTAGTTAAATCTATGACCAAAATTTGACACAAAAAACAAACGGGATGGCGCAAAATATACCCTCACCACCCTTTTTATTCGGTCACTCGTGGCTCTAGGACAAGCCCTCCTCTGTAATTGGCACCGGCGGCGGCGACGACTCAAATCTACGGCTACGACAGTGGTGGTGGCAACAGCACTTCTCGGCAATGGCAGCTGCTTCTCCCCTTCTTCTTCGACTCCATCAGGCCATCCTCGTCTCGGACATGTCTCCCCGTATCCCAAAGTTGGTAAGCTACCCCACCTCCCCCTCCTCTGTTAGGTTCTTCGGTAGGAGCATATTTTGGGTCGATTCCACCATTGCTAACCACATCATGGATGTCGCTTAGGTTGTGGATATACGGACAAATCTTCTAGTTTAGGCAGCAACGCTGATAGCTATGGTTCGGGCCCGGATTTTGTTGGTCCATAAGAGAGTTGTTTGTCAGAATAACAAACCTCCCATCCGGTATGGTCCGATGTTAATCTGGGATCGGGAGAGGATAGCGAATCTGAACTACATCTACAACTACGACACAG